TTGTGTACAACACATGTTATGTACCATTTAGCCCTCCAATAACTTGTAATAAGTGCTGCTCTTGAATAAAAAACCCAATGCTGTAAAAACATCTCTCTTTGGGAATGTTGTCATCTAGATCAAAGTTGGTATTTTTACTTATTTTGTTTTTTAGTATACCTTTAAAGATGGTCCCGATGATACAGGCGAGATGTTTGACCGGCCCGGCAAGCTGTCCGACTACTTCCCAAATCCTTACAAGAATGAAGAGGAAGCTAGATTAGCCAACAATGGTGCGTATCTGCTGGAGTCAGGTTCTTGAATATCAATGAAACAATTTTATTCAGTATTTGCTACCACAATTCCCTTAGCATCCCCTACAACTAAGAATACTAAAAAATGTTGTGCATTTGAACCACGCATTAAATACTGATTAAACAATTTTGTAAAGGTAGGTTCACCATTTGGCCAATAGTACTTCATCATGCATCATTATAAAAATATTTAACATTCCAAATCACATCCTTGATTTAAATATACCGAAGCTGTATGCCTGCTTTCAAACTTTGATTCAAATTGTTATATATGTGTCATACTGAACTGATGTGTTAATTGAGCTCTCAAGAAAAAGTATCTTAAATTGCTCTAATTATAAAACCTGGTATATCATACCTTAATAGTTCAAATAACTAAGAAGAAGATAAGCAAACATGGAAACCAGATCTGTTAAGCCGAAACAAGGAAAGGGTAAATCCAACATTAATGACGTAGGCCTAGGCCAACCTGATTCAGTTACGAGTGGCCCGGAAATAGTGACACCAACAACAGAGACACTGACATCGCGTCACCGCTAGGCCACCTCCAACACCTTCTGGCTGGTGATCCACAATTGATCAAGATGGAGGCAACAGGCATCAGTAACCATATCTTTTCGAGCTCATCAAAGCTATATGTAACAACAAAGCATTGATATCTGAGTGGATTAATTTACAGTGATATAACGGATCATCTCCCAGTCGCGCGTTACCCCTATATATAAGTCTGGCATTCAATCCGATCTATCCAATTATCGTCCTATCTCAATTTTATCAATTCTCTCAAAGGCATTAGAAAGAGTTACGGTATATACGATTGCACTTTCTCATTTGTTTCTAAATATGACATACTTTATAACAAACAGTATGGTTTCAGGAAAAATCACAGTACATCCATGGCCCTCATTGATCTAACAAATAATATAACTGACTACTTGCAATTGGTCTTTTTATAGATCTTTGCAAGGCCTTTGATACATTTTGATCACAATATTCTTTTGTATAAATTATCGCACTACAGAATACGTGGACCCGCAATTGATCTCTTCAAAAGCTACCTCTCAAATCGTGTTCAATATACCAAATATTGTAATTCTATATCTAACTTCAGCCCAACCACATGTGGAGTACTCCAAGGTTCATTACTGGGTCCTCTCATGTTAATTTTATACAGTATATTAAGGACATTCATCTGTCCTCTAACTTGCTCAATTTATTTACTATTCTAACTAAAATATTCAATCATTATTCAATACGTTTACCTCCAGTTTGATTCCCATGTCCCAGTATTTTACAGATGTTTTGTTGAAAAATTTGAATTAATTTCTGTTTATTAAAACTTTTTAAGCCAGCGTTCCGCAAACTTTTTACTTCACGGCCTATTTAAATTCCAGGCATCCAGCAGCCCAGCCGCACCAGGGACCAACATACCATATCCTGGCAAGAACTTTTGTTATGAAGCCTCCATGTATACAATATTTTGACATCATTATCTGTTCTCTCAGTGATAAAATTTCATTTTATACAAATTAAATATTATTTTATTAAATAAATAATACTCTACATTTGTGTTCACACCCTCATTTGTGTTCCCCCCCCCCCACTTGTTAATTGGTTTTTTTTTCTACCATGATTCAACTAAACACGGTTCAGCCACACACGTCATAGCTTTCTCCTTCTTCCAAAAACTTTTATGCACACTCTGTTACTCCGCAACTTTGAAAGACTACCTCAATATACAGGTATTATGTTTGGTAATAAAGTATCTACATGGGCATTTGGTTATCAAGAAATGTGTGGTGTTGTTTACTGTAGTGATCTTTCTAGGACAGGTCTTATATTTATTTTTTATCTTAGCTCATGACTCATCCCATCATTCCTCCATACTGGATTTACTCCATCTTACAGGGTTAATACTAGACGATAACATAGTGTCTAGCTCCCGCTTATAACTCAAATAGCACGCATCATATGGCACTTTAGCAGCGTGTGCAAGCGACGCATTCGCTGTAACAATGAAGCGGCTTTATTAAAAACTATTTTCTCCATGATGAAACGTCTATTTGTTGTTTTTTTTTTTTTTTTCAATTTCCAGACAGGTTCGCAGCCCAAAAATGTTTCGCGGCACAAATTTGGGCTGCGGACCATAGTTTGCGGAACGTCGATTTAAACTATTAAGAAACCTGACTTGCACACAAGGGAAACATGATGGGACCATTTTTAATCATCTGAGACATTTTGAATGTAATTATGATTAATAGTTATAAATATTGCTTGCTCCTTTACTTTGTTGCTAGAAAGCACAAGAACATTTTCTTTGAAATTTTGAAGCTATTAGGCTAATCAACTGAATTGAACTCTGCTACATCACTTTTATTTTTTTCTTTTAAAGGTGCTTTACCTCCAGACCTGAGTTATATGGCTTTAGCACGTCATGGTGGAGAAGATTATGTTTATGCATTATTGACTGGGTACTGTGACGCACCTGCTGGGGTGGAGGTCCGTGAAGAATTATACTATCACCCTTACTTCCCTGGACAAGCTATAGCCATGGCTCCTGCACTTTATAATGAAATTATTGAATATGATGATGGTTCGTAGACATTTCATCAATCCAGTTAAAAAAACATTAAATTCGTTTATGTAATGTAAAGATGTGAACATTACAATTTTTGATCATTTAGTTGACTTGCGTTCAATTCTATGTGGTAATGTTTGGTTGTTTTGAATATCAATATCTAGGCACCCCAGCTACACTAAGTCAACTTGCTAAGGATGTCTGCACCTTCCTAAGATGGGCTGCAGAACCTGAACATGATCAGCGTAAATTAATGGGAATGAAGGTACATTATTATTTTTATATTTTATTTCTAATATTGCATTTGATTCTGTATTTATATACAGTACCACAGTGTTTCAATTCAAATTTGTAGCAACAAGTGTGGTTACCATAAACTCATACCTTTGAAAAGAAATTATTGTAATTCAAATATTTATAAAATTATCATGAATTTTCTGTTTTTTGTCTTAATTTTCTTCTGTTTTTTTTTTCTCTTTCCAAGATGTTAATGATTATGTCAGTGCTAGTTAGTGTAGCCTTCTATGTGAAGAAAACAAAATGGTCCGTGCTTAAATCAAGAAAGATTGCCTACAAGCCACCGGCATAATTTCTTAAGGAGAGTGAATATTGTAGACAGAGTTTGTGTTTGAGCCAACATTGTTAATAGTGGAATGACAGGAAGACACAATTCCATCATTTCTAAAGAAAGTTCATATTATTACATACACCTATTATGTCCACTGTGGCATAAATCCTGTATATTTACATCAGAGCAATATAAATTGTATGTAAAAAAAATTACTTGATGATTGTTGTCACTTGGATTTTATCAGTTTGCCATATTTGTTTTACTGTTAATGAAATCATATTAAATCCAATCCAAGTCCAAACACAAACTTAATTTTTAAGCATATACTTAAAAAATTCTATATAATTTTGTGGATGAACTGATGTCGACTGAGAACACTTGCTTTGCCAGTTAATTACCAGGTGAATGATACAGTATACAATACCTACAGCTTCTTGTACTTTATTTATTATTTGTCTATTTTATTTCTATAGCAACCGAATTCAAAGTGTTTGAATTGGTAATGTTGCTTTTTCTCAGTTCATGTAAACTCTACTACATATTTTGGCTGTTGGCTGCTACACACCTAGAATAATCTATATTATTATTTCTCAATTCTTCAATGTTTTTACTGAATTCGCTGTCAAAAACATACAGAAGTGTACAGAATTAGTGATTGCAATAAAGGGAAAGTTTGGTGTTAAAATAACATGTCTTAAGTGTCCCATGCAGTGTGTTAAACATGTCTGATTGTCCCATGCAAATGAAATAAGTCTTAAACGCTAGTCATAGCGCGATTTGTTGAAAATTGTGATATTACTCATGTGCTGAACCTTCCATAGAACCCCTGGTATTCAACCCTGGCACGCACGCCATCTCCGGCGTGCAAAAAATTTTGATCCGGGCTGTGCAAAATTGCTAAAAAAATAAATCATTTTTCCGGCCGATTTTCAGTGCATACATACAGAGTTTTTCCTGTTAATGGAAACGACCACCTACTCTGACATTGTTAACAAGGGCTAGTGGCGTAGAATATTGACATGCGCAGTGGGAGACTGTTTTTACAGTCTGAAATTGCCATTGTCAATTTTTAAAATTTGCTTACCTTAGCCCCAACCATGATGGGGCTGAAATGGTATTTACTCCTTATCTGTAAAATTCCTTCCCTGGGCCTCTCTTTCGAATCCCTCCATTCGCTACTACTATAAAAGAGAATGAGCAGGGCAGTCATCGAAAAAAAAATTACACCGCGCCACTGATCTCAACATAGGCCTATTGGAACTGACCACCGAGTTAAAAAGAAATGAATACGCAGGCCATAGATACCGTCTACTGTCACTTTCAGTACTCTTCAGAAATGAGACAGAGGTTGTCCTGTCCAATTCACTAAAATCTACCGAGGGAAATTAAGCCATTGACTAAAAGATATTTTCTATTTGGATGATTATTATATTAATGGTACTACAGTATTATAATTGAATTATTGTTAATATAGTACAGCATCATTATTATTACTTTATTTATCACTGTTATCATTATCATTAAATACCCTAAAATGTAAATATATTGGCCAATATTATCTGAAATAATATGAAAAAGTTTATGCTGTCGTTTGAGAACCGAGTTAATAATCGGTAAAGTGCAAGTTTACACGGTACTAAAAGCTGAACACACTCCCTAAGCTCTACTCGTTTATTATACTCTTTGATCCAATTGGTGAGAGTGACAATGAACAGCGCCACCTTAAATAAGTTGAAAAAGAAATTTTGGCTTGGCACGGCGGATATGATGACATGTCCCTATCCTTCCCGTTTTGATACACTAAATTTGTATTCTTTTCAGAGTCGAATATTGTAGTAGGGTGGTCTAGTATTATCACAAAATATTTTATCCCAAAATATGTGCATATGTATGTATGTATTTAAATTAATTAATGAATTTTAATCTGAATGGACCTCTGTGGAAATATGACTAATTGTTTTGGTATTTGCACTGAAAACATATTAAAAGAAAAACAATATAAAATAACCCAAACCTAAGACTGTTATGAATAAAAGTGAGGATAGCCTAACACTTTCCTACAGGCGCCGTAATGCAATACGGTACGTACCGTTCTTCTATAAATGAATTTTGAAACAATTTCCATTGCAAAAGACAGTAATTTATTAAATAGCCTTATAAGCCTAAATGGTATTATGCATTTGCATTGACCTACCAGGTCAATATCGGCGACATTTAGTGCAATTAAATTGATTGGGATTAAATTGATTTATTGGGTTTAGATTAAGCAAGTAGGCCGATTCAATGGACCACTCATGTAAGCGTATTGGTCCTCAGCATTGGGTGTGATTAAATTGACTTACTGGGTTTAGATTAAGCAAGTAGGCCGATTCAATGGACCACTCATGTAAGCGTATTGGTCCTCATCATTGGGTGTGATTAAATTGACTTACTGGGTTTAGATTAAGCAAGTAGGCCGATTCAATGGACCACTCATGTAAGCTTATTGGTCCTCACCATTGGGTGTGATTAAATTGACTTAAAGGACCTTTTCCCTTTAGAGTTAGATTAAGCACTAAGAAAAGTGAGTTTGTCCCAAGCCTCCGGTAAAATGGAACTATCTGTTTGCATAGCAATATGTTTATAATCGAGAGGTCTTCAGTTAATTTCCTCATAATATGTGAGTTACTGTACAGGAAAAAGCAAACCGGGAGTAATCATTAAACCTCGTTTCTGCATTGCCTCTCTCGACCAGTGGTTAGACAATCATCAGAACAAAAACGTCTACCTACCCGCGAGTGCATGGCTCTTATAGCCAGTCACTTTGTAGACCTCACTTTTAAAATGAGGTCCAACTAAATTACCATTACAACGGTTCTGAACATTCCCGCCTTTTTTCAACTTCTAATACTAGTGTTTAATTGTATTATGTGTAGATTGGCAAAGATGACTTCCGTAGTAACACGCCTTTACTTACTTTATTATTGCATCTACCTTTGGGGGAAAATATTTGTGCAAAACAAGAACACCTAATACATACTATTATTGTAATAATCGTCATTTTTGCAACAATTATTATTTTTGATAAAGTACAGTACGTTTAATAGGTAAAATAAACTTATTTAACTTGGTATACTTATAGTCGATGTATAAACCGTTATGTTTACAAATGTTATGCAACAAAGCCAATCCATTTTTTTTAACGAAATGTCTTTCAGAGAGAAAACACACTTTGCATTGGTCAACAGCGACCTATTTCGCTTACAAGAATCGTAAAAGTATTTTGACAGAGGAACGAAAACTACTGTTTTGTGCCACAATACTTTTTAGTTTACCCGGTTTGTCAAAAAAAAAACAAAAAAAAAACACAAACGACTACTTGTTTTTACATGTAATGATTCAGAACCGAGTCATCGCGTAAGGCTTTTTCCGGTTTTTATAGGCTATCATTATAAACAGCGCTTTAGGCCTAACATATACGTATTTTATATCCATTTGAATTTGTGCCTCATATTTCGTTGCACATTTGTGAGAAAACACTTTTCTTTTTGCACTGTGCTCGTGGCTTCAGATTTAGCAACGAAACACAAACAGGAGTGATTATCAAAACAAAAAGTATTAATTAGTATCTATCAATATTATTTTTAATTAATTCAAAGAAAAATCATTAACTGATTATTGAAATTTGTTACGACAAAACATTAATGCAACGTTAGTAACACTAAAAATTCACACAGAAGTATTCAGTACGACCGTAAATTAACATTATCATCAATTATTATCATTTCACACTCAATTGCTAATATTATGTTTAATTAATTATTATTCATTAAATTGCGTAAAAACATTTGTAAAAATGGTAATAATCTAAAATGTAATTTAATTATTATGGTATAACTTGGAATAATCAACTTGTCATCTTGTAGGTGATCATCAATTTTAAAATTTGTGTGATGCTCCCAGGGGAGTTTTACCGTTTGTTATCCACATCCAGATCGTTAGTTCGAATTTAATCAATACATCAACGTTTAAGATAGTATACGGTAATACATACTGATGATGACATTCCTAATGATGACATAATTAATGTCGAAATATTGAATCCTGACACGATGGCGTGCATTTCGATACATCAGCGTTTATCAGTGTTAATTATCCTTTATTGAAATGTGTATTAAATATAATGGGTGATAATTTATAACATAACTGAAAAAACATAAGAAAAAATTTCATAACAATTATTATGGTAATTCACACATGCATAAGTAGACAAGTAAATTGGCCATAAAATGATTAAAACGTATCATTGTTGTTCATGATAATGGCGTCGTAAAGAAAGTGAAATAAGAGTTTAATTACTATGTCCCAATATTATTCTGCTTACAGTTTGCCTGTTTATGACATCAGATCAACCTGTAACGGAAAACTGTATAATCACTTCATCCTCTTGGTTCATTAGAAGTCTACCACTCACTATAGCTCAAGCTGCAAAAAAAAAATTCATAATTCACTTATTTTATTTGTATTTCATCTACTGCAATAATAAGGCTCCTACATTAATTTTATTATCTACGAACAGGAATCCTCAGCTCCTAGGACCTGAACCCTGCATGAACTTAGTGATATAATGTCCGCTGTAAAATTGAAAAACTCTCAAACATTTAATTTAATTATTGAATTGCTCATTTCCAAGGATCGAACAAGTTATCAATTTCTGATGAGATACAGATGGAAATAATAATATTCAGATATCATTGGTTTAAATACTTTCTATAACGATGGAGATCAGAGGCATAGGCCTATTATTCGTATACCTCGATGATTTTACGAGCACTCATTTATATGCCTAATATTTGTATACTTCCATGGATTTTTATGAGCACTGTTCACATTTTTTGTTGAGTTTTCATTTAAAAGCTAATAAGAAACACAAGCAATTCAAATAGTGATTTTTCAAGTTTATTAGATCAAGTGAGAAAGGATACATTTAACCAATAGGTAACTAATCAATTCATATCCAATCACTGATACACTATAAGTAGG